CGGTGCCGCGAGAGAAAGGTCTTCGCCGAGCTCTCTCCCGGAGTTGCTGAGAGAGAGTGGTGCGGTCTTATGAATTTCTAGCTTTACACGAGATGTTAATTACTGTATTTTCCATGGTTCGTATAGTCATTAGTACAGAGGCCTGAATTGCTTATAGTGCGTATCGATTCATTAAGCTAATGGTTTTTGTTGTCAGTGTTTTGAATAACGAGTGTGTGTGACAAAGAATCAGGTTTAACATAAACTTTTGTTTACAAACGAGCTGGTAGTGAATCCCGAAAGCACATTTAAATGAGCAAGCAAAACAGCCATATATATCTTCACAGCTTCTGCGGACAGTGAAAAAAAATGCATTTTTGCGCAAATGTGAGAAGAGTGATGTGGGAAAACCCCAGTGGAATTACACGTGAAAATCGCATGTAGCTAAAGCCTTAATTACACACATTACCTTGTTATCTGCATACTGGATTTAGATACACGGAACAAGGAAGACCACGTTCACGGGAATCTGCAAAAGAACTCATGACTTCAGCACCACTATTCATGTAATTGGGATGCTTGAGGTAGGTGTACATGGTTAACTATATTACCTCTCGTGTTGTGCACTTGCTGCAGATTGTGAAAAGATAGCAATATCCATTAATATTGTTAACTGCATGGATTGTAATGTATTACATTTATTAACTGCAGTTATTGCGATGGTTAGATAGACAAAGCAGTATTTCAAACGTGGATTGTATATAGGTCTATATTTTCAAGATATGCAAGTAAAAGATGTTGCGTTTATATTTTAAAAATAAGAAACCTTAATTGCCAATATCCATGATAAGTTAATAACTTCATGAGGACCGACTATATAAAGACTGGTGAAAAGTGTATTCATATTAGGATGGTTTTGGGTTAACTTTAGGGAACAATAGTTTCGATGATGCGCATGAACTGATGCGAAATTCATCCCGTTAACACCGTATTTTACAAGAAAGCTTACAGCATCATTTCCCGCCATATGTATAAATCATTCGAATAGAGAGGAAGGTAAAATAGCGCGCCATTACCACGATTTATCAGACAGCTTTTATTGCCAGCAAATGTCATGTAACGAGAATTTCTCTCCCGCCAATTCTATCTCCTTTTCCTTCAAGTTATTTTTGCCGTATCTGTTAACCTCACGCAGTTGGAAAAATGTTCACGCTGTTGTCCTGTAACTGATATCTGTTGCATTACTAAATCCTTCTCTCCTTGGGGAAGGTGATTCATAAAAAAGAGGTTATCAGTATTCATGTCTGATATATATTGGGTAAACATATACATTATTCATAAATGTATTTATTACACATATGGATAAAAAACTACCCATACATGAAACAGCTTCCACGGTTGATAGATGTTCTTTAAAGATACAAACATAACGCATTACTGGATTTCATATAACCAAAACTAGTCCGCATATCAACCCAAAATGATGCCTAATAAAAATGCATAATATATTCAAAGTAGAATCGAACGCTTGAATATGATATAGAAAACGGGAGAAAAAGTTCTCGTGCGCGTTCCAGACATCCATTCGCCCCGGGCAGAGAATGACAGTACAGATCAAAATAATAATAATCAAAATTATATAATCGGTCTGATAGAGATGCAGTTTTATATTGTGAGTTGATACAACTTGATGTCGATGGTGCTACGTAGAAATGAAACGGCAAGACGCTGCACATGTGGTCCATTAAAACCCATTTTTTTTCCCTTAACGGCAACTCTTTGCGGGTCACGACACATGCAAAGTACCGTCCCATGAAAAAAAAAGTGAAAGTTGAAACCATTATTCTTGCTTTATTGTTCACGAGGCTGATCAGTGATCGATATCCCTGCTCCATATAAAGTAAAAGGGCTCTCCGCTGCTCGATTCCTTCATGATTACCGGCCGGTAGGGGCAGGGGTAGCAATATCCCCTCCTAGGTTACCTGCAGCTGTCAGGTGCTCCCCAGCCCGACCCGGCACCTGTTGTCTCAGGTACTCCGCAGGGCACGTGGGGAGGAGATCACGGCGAGGCTGGGCTATGCGCTGGGGTCATTATAGGGCCACATGACATGTTCGTGTTGCCGTTGGTATGGAGGTATGGAGCAGGCGGCACGCTGGTTGCTATGGAGCGGGAGCTGGGTACGCGATGGCATGAGGTCGGGAAGGGTGAGCGAGGGCTGAGGGGCTCGTGTTTGAATGGGCGAAAAGGTGGGGTGGGTGATTAGTATGCGCTTTGTTAAAATTACATGCATACAACAAAAATAAGCGCTTATATATATATATATATATATATATATATATATATATATATATATATATATATATATATATATGTATGTATGTATATATGTATGTATGTATATATGTATATATGTATATATATATATATATATATATATATATATATATATATATATATATGTATGTATATATGTATATATATATATATATATATATATATATATATATATATATATATATATATATATATATATATATATATACATATATATATATATATATACATACACACATACACATATCTGTTTGTATACATACATATATATATATATATGTATATATATATATATATATATATATATATATATATATATATATATAAATGCATCTATATATATATATATATATATATATATATATATATATATATATATATATATATATATATGTATATATATATATATATATATATATATATATATATATATATATATATATGTATGTATATAAATGGACATTATATATATGTATGTATGAATATGCATTATAAATACATATGTATATATATATAAACACACACACACACACACACACACACACACACACACACACACACACACACACACACACACACACACACACACACACACACACACACACACACACACACACACACACACACACACACACACACACACACACACATATCTGTCTATATCTCTCTCTCTATCTATCTTACCTATATATATGTATATATATATATATATATATATATATATATATATATATATATATGAATATGTATATATATACATTATATTACATTATATATATGTATGTATGAATATGCATTATAAATACATATGTATATATATATATAAACACACACACACACACACACACACACACACACACACACACACACACACACACACACACACACACACACACACATACACACACACACATACACACACACACATACACACACACACACACACACACACACACACACACACACACACACACACACACACACGCATACATACATATATATACATATATATGTACACATATGTATATGTATCTTTGTATCTATCTATCTCTCTATCTATCTATCTATATAGGAAGACATTGATATGCGTTTATTTCTGTGTGTATGCATGCCCATATGTATGCATATTCACTGGGTTGGTCCCTTCGCATTTCTAACAAACGCCGAATATCACTTATCGTCAGTCCTATCCCCTCATTTCTCCTGTCCTGCTTCTCCTTTCCTTCCCTACTCCCATGTCCTTTCTTCCCCACCGTTGTAGAAATATAGATTTATAGGTTGCATTACAAAGGGATCAACTGCATGAATGCTCTAAGAAACTATGACGGAAAACCTGTTCGGATCCCTTTGCGACGAAAGGAATTTCCGCCACTTCAGGAGAGCATTTCGCAAGAGTTCATCCTTTCAGTAAATGAATAAAAATAAATGCCGCGCAGGTAACAGAAAATAACTCACGCGCACCTCAGCTGGATCTGGAGACAACATTAAGATTAACATTAATAACAATGAGCCTTTCTCTGTCTAGGTTGAGGTTCTTCACTACGGGGATACTTTGCGGCTTTTCTGTCTCCTGCTCCTACGTCACTGCCGCAAGCTGTGTGAGACTCAAGAAAGGAGACTTACTACAACTCTTCGGATACCGTTGCAACGTGCATGCATGCATTGCAATAACAGATTTCACGTCAGTTCGAAGAGAGGAATTTTAACTTTCATAGACACAACAGCAGCGAGTTTGTTTTTGAAGCATTGTGAGAGGATGCAAGTTGCACCCTTTGGAAGACGTAAAAGTCGTTTTATTGGCCAGTCTTCTAGTAAATGTTTACAGAAAATGGAATTTCCTCCAGATAGGGCGAGTGTTGCGGTATCTTTCCCAGACATATTACAGGGTATAAAAAAATTGTGAATAAACATGTTAGCTTCTCTCTCTCTCTCTCTCTCTCTCTCTCTCTCTCTCTCTCTCTCTCTCTCTCTCTCTCTCTCTCTCTCTCTCTCTCTCTCTCTCTCTACTTCTCTCCCTTTCTACTTCCTTCTTTCCTTATTTGTTAATATTTTGTTCAGTAATTTGGTAACGAAATTAGTATTCCAGTTGCAGTGGTCGAGAAGATCAGGTACCATAGTACGGTATGTTTATGGTGTCACCGTATAGGATAATGAAGGTTATTATGTTAATGATATCTCTGAATAATGAAAGTATGTTGAGCATGTCTGGCAACCCAATTAAAGCTTACTGATGATGCTGTGTTGTGTCACTGGTTATTTCTTCAAATGTATATATATAGAACCTGGTATAGATTAATTTTTAAAAAATGATATAGTTGCTCTTAGTATATCATTTAAACATGAAATCAGTAAATACGTGCTTATTTGATGATCAATACTTAAATATATCCATAACACATGTGAGTTATGACACGCACGTCGGAGTGAAACGTGAATACGATGACGGTGTCGGGAGAGAGTACTGGGTCACCAAGGAGAGTCGCGGCAAAGGTGAAGAAACATGACAGCCCGAGATGGATGGCGACAGAGGGAGGAGGAGGAGGAGGAGGAGGAGGAGGCGGAGGCGGAGGAGGACGAGGAGGGTTGGGCAACGCGAGATCGCAGGCAGGCGTAAGGAGGAGGAGGAGGGAGGAATAGGGAGGGGGATGAGGATGAGGATGAGGAGAGAGAAGGAGGAGGAAGGAGGAGGGTTGGGCAACGCGAGATCGCAGGCAGGCGTGAGGAAGAGGAGGAGGAGGAGGTGGGAAGAATAGGGAGGGGGATGAGGAGGGAGGAGGAGGGAAGAGGAGGATGAGGAGGGAGAAGGAGGATGAGGAGGGGGAAGAGGAGGAGGAGGGGGAAGAGAAGGAGGAGAAGGATGAGGATGAGGATGAGGAGGACGCGGACGAGGGAGGGGTAGGGAGAGGGATGAGGAAAAAGGAGGAGAGGAGGAGCGATGAAGAGGGAGTGGGGAAGGGAAAGAGGAGGAGGAGGAGGAGCAGCGTGCTCGGCTTGCGGGAGATGCTGGAGATACGTCCTCTCCGATGCGTGATTCGTATTTGGAGGGAAGGCGGGTTTCGAAAGCGGGGAGGAAAGGTCGGCGTCGAGTTGTTGTTTTGGTGCTGGTTTGGATGATTGTATATACGGCACAGGGGCACACGCACACACCACGCGCACGTGTGTGTGTGTGTGACAGACAGACAGACAGACAGAGACGGAGAGACAGACAGAAACAGACTGGCAAGTTTGACAGGCAGACATATAGACAGT